CTCGAATAGCTTGGTTTCGTTTGAGAATCCCAAAGTAAAAAGCCATAAAGGAATGAGCATCGGTCCGCAAAACACGGCCTACAGAGAAAATTGCCAACCACAGGTCATTGAGAGGAATTTGTCTTAACTACAAACCAATGGAAGCCGGCGCTGTATGCAACAGACTAAAATGTGCGAAGAACGAATGTTGAAGAGAACCAACTAGACTTGGAGTGAACAACACGATTGGTAAACCTGATTGTAGTTTAAAAAAACAAACATAAATGCAGATCGGGAAAATTGACCTCCAAATGGGCAAACAGCGAACGGTAATTTTTAAGGATGACAGCGGGCGTAGCGCATAAAATGTTGTTTCTGTACAAAAGCACGATACACGAAGTTTACCGGTACAAATCACCCATGCCTTATGCAAATGAAAATATAGGGTAACTGCTTGATTTGTCAGTCAGTGTAGATTCCGTGGGTCGAAAAATTATGACGACTTAGGAGCGTCTTCGCGATCTTCCTCGTAGCCCAGCTCGTTGGCATCTTCATCATCCTCTTCGTCTTCGTCCTCGTCGTCCTCATCTAAAATATCGTCTGTTATTTGTTGTTAAGTTAGTCCTGAGCAAACTTGTTATGCTTTACCTACCTTCAACGTCATCGGAGTCAAGATCGGGGTTCAGGTAGAATTGGAGAGGGTTCGGCCAGAGCTCATCCTTAATGCTTTCTCCAATAACGTCACCCACAGCATCCCAGTCATCAGAGAACCAACAGAAGAAGCTCGATTGTTGTGGGAATGGTCGTTTTTGCCCCTCGCGACCATTGTCCTTCATTTCTGTCAAGTCCATGTCGGGCAACCACTCTATTTTCGTTGATGTTGCAGTTGGTTCTCCCTTCTCTCCAACGCGGTACTCCTTCGTGATAACCTCGTTCTTGAAGTAATCATTCTTATTGAAGTGCTACGGGGGGAAATTAAAGTCAAGGTACCCTTACGAAGTGAATCTTGTAGCCAGACGTTATGTCATCAAACTCCTGAACTTCGACAGCTTTTAGGTGAGTGAGAACCTTTTCGTCCTCCTCTGTTATCAACTTGCGAATCTGCAGGTGATTCATGAAAACTGTCAGCCAGAAGTTCGGAATTTTCGCAAGGAGATCGGCCCGCTGCTTATAGTGGGGTTTCCGCAGGACATTGAACTTCTGTTCTACCCTGAGAATTTCGGCACTGGCTTGTTTGTTTAGGCTGTCAATAGCCTCCTGCACAGCATCGACGCTTTCGAGAATTTCATGATCAAGTTCTGAAAGCAAATAGGAGTCACCAGAGCGAACGAGGAAAGTACAAATTGCATAAAAAATGTTGCTTAATACGTACCTGTCACGGCCTCAGCATTGTCATTCTCCGTTCGACTAACCTTCGGTTGGGCAGCCATTTCTCTGGAAGCGATCTTTCGGACTACAGGATATGTGCACAAGTTTATAAACTAAAACAAAAGGGACCAAACATGACTTCGTGCAGAAATCGAGACGATTTGTGGGAAATAAACGTAATTTTATTCTTATTTCGATTTTAGAATGTGATATTTTCCTGGCTAGTTTGTTTGAATGCCAATTTGAAATTTGTTGCACTGCAGAATACCGACAGTCCTTGAATAACTACTCCCCTCAATCCTATATTTGCAGCTCCCTAGCCTCTGTATGCTGATGATCCCTTTTTTCCGACATCTTGAGGCTACAAAATTCCAATCTATCCATTCCCTTTTCATTTCTACGAAGTAGTTTAACATTCAAGATATGTTAATATATCGCGAAAACAAACGTCCTGAAAGTCCCTATCAGCACGAATGACTACATGTAGCTTACTATAGCTTCCGGTAGATAAATGGTTACTTTTCAGTGGATGCTCATGCGGATTTGCGGACTATATCTCCGCAATTTGTCAGAGACACATTACGTGAAGGTCAGGTGACTATCTGTTAAACTTACGCATGCCTTGTGTGGCTCACATATGGCAACTTGGAAGTATGGATCATATGTATCTTGAACGGAAAGTATGCATCGGAATTATCAATCTAAACAGGAGCTGTGAGATCAACGCGCATACTTAAATGTTTCGGATAAACATTCCGGTTTTACAGCCTAAGCCATA